CAGCTTCACCGCGGCGCCCACCACCAGGCAGCTCGCCGTGCCCGACTCGAACTCCGCCTTGCTCGCATCCACCGTGTAGCTGCCGGTGGGCACATTGGTGTTGCCGGCGGTGACGGTGATCGTGAACGACGTGGTGCTGCTGACCGAGGCCACCTTGCCGATGACGCCGGGGTTGAACCGGCCCTCGCCATTGCCGCCGCTGGACGAGGCGCCATCCACGTCGAACACGGTGGCCGTGATGGTCGTCGTGCCGGTGCCGGCGGCCTTGCCGGCAAAGCGCACCGAGGCGCCGACGATCACGTCGCTGGCCTGGCCGTGCGTGAAACGGGCCGAGTCGATCGTCACGACGACGAGATTGCTGCTCGGCAGGAAGTTCGCGTCGGTCAGCGACACGGTGATCTTGTTGCCGTTCACGGCCGTCACGGTGCCGGCACCGCGCAGCCGCGGCGCACCGGCCGTGCCGTCGCCCGTGCTGCCGGCGGGCAGCACATGCACGACCGTGGCCGTCACGGTGCTCGGGTCGGCCGTGGTGGCGCCCGGCGTGACCTTGCCCTTGGCCTCGATGTTGGCGCCCACGGCCAGGTCAGCCAGCGTCAGCCGGGCTTGCGTCTGCTCGTTGATCAGCGTCGCATCGGCCGCCAGCGTCACGACGACGCTGCCGAGCCGGTTGTCGGTGACGGTGAAGGTGCCGGCGCTGACGTTGACCGCAGTCACGCTGCCATGCACCTCGGCCTGCTGGCGCACGAACTTGCCGAAGGCGTCACCCGCGTCGCGGCGCTCCACGACGGCGGTGACGATGCCGGTGGTCGCGTCGTAGGTGAACTTGGCGAGGTTGAAGTCCAGCACCAGCTGGCCGCTGTTGGCGGGGTTCAGGTCCAGGTCGCGGATGGTGAGCACCTGGTCGCCGCCGGTGCTGTTGAAGCGCGCGGAGATCGTCTTGCTGCCGTCCAGCGAGACGAGTTGCACCGCGTTACCCAGCGTGACCTTGATTTGCGAATACACGCCCGCGGGCAGCGTGACCGTGGACATCAGCTGGCCGACATCGGCCAGCGACGACAGGTTGACCGTCACCGGGCTGGCGCCCGCGTCCAGCAGCGTGACTTCGGTGCCGGCGCCGTCCACCGCGGTGATCTTTTTCAGGCTCACCCAGACCTTGGAATAGTCGGTCG